GCTGCTGTCTCCTTGAACCCCAGTGGGCCTCAGCAGATGGCCGCTCACACTGAGCCTGGTTCTGCTGGAGGTTTCTTCCTGTTCAAAGGGAGTTTTTCCTCTCCACTGTCGCTACAAGCATGCTTAGTGTGAGGGATTGTATTTGAGTCAATGCAATCAACTGGTTTTCCTTAGATAGAAAACTTTGTATCAATTTGACTGTATGATCTGGTTGAACTGTAAAGTGCCTTGAGATGACATGTGTTGCCAATTTGGCGGTATGTAAATAAACTGAATTGAAATTGAATTGTTGTGTCTATAAGTAAATCAGCTGTTGGGAAAAAAAGAACACTTTTTCAAGCAGTGTTTTAGTTCATTTGTTTTTCTCAAATGGTGTTTTTTGCTGCTGAATCACCTTAACAGCTGCAGGTGGTGAACAGCTTCACGTTTGAAATGCATTCTTAAATATTTTATGTGGTCTGGTTCAGTGGAATATCATTTAATTAACATCAACCATGGTCCATTCTCAAATATTTTCTCCTTTTGTTGTCACATCTAGTCACTTTGTATCTTTGTGTTTTTGTAATCAGAGTCATGATTAAATGTGTAATCATATTTAAGGACATATTTGTCTGAGTTTGCACAGCACCCTGTTTCAAAATGACCCTGTTTGTCTTCCCGGACACATTTCTGCTTAACGTGGACAATTTTCTGCAAAAGAGTTCATTTATTTGACTGCCTTATTTTGGACCTCAGTTAGAATCAGACCCTAACTGTTCCCCAGACAAGGCCTACACATTTTTTCCAGTATTGTAAAGTCGGGAGGGAGCATTAAAAAAACTAAGGCATCCTTTTTGGTGGAACCCAATAATCTGACATGTTTGACACGTTAACTTGACTCAGACTTGATGTTTTAAGTTAGGCTTTTCTGAGCGACTTTTATGAAATATCCCTCTGATCCTCGGGATCCACTGTCCAGCAGAGCATATCATGGCATGCATAGGAGCTAATCATTAATAGCAGGTTTGCTGGAGCAGCAACATATCTAAAACATGATGAACAGGATTAGTAATCACTACATTAGAAGACTTAAGAAATTAAAACCTTATAAAAAATGAGGGATCATCAAAAGCAACACTTAGAGTTACACAAAATGTCTTTCATATTTTCATGTTTAAATGTTTTTTTATACACCGACATAAATTAGAAGATAAGAAATTGAGTGACAACAGCTCATAGCTGTTCAGGTTGTCAAAGCTTTTCAAAAATTATCTTCAAGAAAACCTACAAATATCTCTAAATTTCATGTAACTGGCTTCAATTTGAACAAACAGCTCAAAACCATTATTCTTTTTTTTTTTCTTGGAAATTATTTTGTTTTTTATAGGAAAAAAGAATAAGATCTATGGTATAAAAAAGCATGTTGCACACACACATAAAGCATAAATATCCTGTTAAAAATGTGTTGCATGGTTCCAGTTAGTAGCAGTGTTGCCTTGCAGCAAAAAGGTCCTGAGCTGAGATTGCATGCTTTATGAATGATGGACAGTCCAGAGCGTTTCTCTCCTCCTGCCTGTGATCAACCAATAACAGGAACATGACCCCATTGCTCCATACGACCAAGCAGGCAGAGACAACAAAGGGAGTGGCTGATGGTTGCATAACTGCACAAAAATTATGTACATTATGCAAAATACAGGTATAAACTGATGCATGAGACGCAGAATAAGTAGTTACTGAAACTGATGAGAGGAATCAGTTGGGAGTTTCTAGTTTAAACAAGGGATGTGAGTCATGTCTTTTAGATTGAATCGATCTGAAGCGTAGCCGTCAGGTTGGTGAACACGAAGGTGCAGCGAGCTGATGACTTCAGATGACATGATTTCATCGATTTGAGATTTTCAAAGTTTAAAGTTACAGTCTCCTCCAGTTCACATAACGAACAAAAGACTGAGAAGCAAAATCAGTCAGTAATGGAGGTAAACAGGGGCAAGTGATCCCTTCTCGGCGCACTTTAACACCCCTCCATTTGCACTCATGTTCCGCCACGTCAGAAACTGTTGCCCGGAGGGATTACAGCATGGGGTGGGTGTGGGAGCATGGCAGCAAAACTTCCCAGTAAGACAAGGTCACCTTAAGTGGATTGGGGGATTGTGTGTGTAAGGGGTGGCTGAGTGGGTGATGTTATTCCCTCGGAGGAAAACAGGGAACAACTCATGAAAAAGTAATTAAGCAGGATGCACATGAGTGGATGCTACAGGCGGGCAAAGCGAGGGGGGGATAAAAAAACCTAGAGGTCAGGCGAACTGTTTGTACACAAGACGCCGAAGAGACGTTCACTAAACACAGCAGCATTGTTAAACCTGAAAGACTTCTACAGACACTTTTCTATATACATTTTTTTACTTTCACAATGTCATCAAGGTGACACTTTGGATATCTATATGCAGAATTTTATGTTTTTGGTAAAGTGGGAAAGTTTTAAATGGAGTGGAATTGCCTTGAGGTGCAGCTGCTGAGTTAAATCGACTAAATTGATGGATTTTTCTGGGAAGCTAATAAACGAACACGTCTTCTTACTAAAACAGAGTTGATTTAGAACCCACATTAATTAAATTGTCACCTTTGGCCATTAGAACAATTTTTTATTATTTTCAAGTTAATTTTCTGAGTTCTGTTTCTACGAAGGTTGAAATAAGAAAGGAAACCAAATAGAAACCAAATAGAAATTGTCTCACATTTTATTCCTTAAAGGTGTCATAACCTGGTATTTTACATATATCCTACAATCCTTCTTAAATTGCCTTTTTTCCCATTTTATTAGTTTTACGATAAAACTGTTTAAAATATGGAGCTCATTCTGACCCTTTTTTTCTCGCAAGGGTATACACCAGAACTTAACCAGAATGTATAGGCATTTAAGCAGTGTTAGCAACATTAGCAGTTAGCCGTGGTTCATTTAGCATTTTTACACAATAATTAAAAGGTTCCAGAAGCAGCAACTTTTACTGACTGCCTGGAGGTCATTCCTTGATTCTTAAAATCGTCCATTTTGATGAAATAGAATAAACTGAATTTCCTCGATTCATTACGAAAACAAAAACTAAAAATCCAAATATATTACTTTTAGGCTTTGGGAGTTAATTCTGCCAATATAAAGTGTTAACTATAAACCCAACCAAGACTAACAGTATTTACTGAATGTTGTCCATCTGCAAAGATGGGAAGTAACAAAGTACAAATACATCGTTACTGTACTCAAGTAGATTTTTCTGATATTTTTACTTTACTACTTATTATTATGGCGACTTTTTATTTCTACTCCTTACATTTTTTTTAATCCTCTTTTTACACAAATATCTGAACTTTCTACTCCTTACACTTTAAAAAATTGGCTCGTTACTTTAGTTTTGAATCATTTCAATGGAGTTACCGTTATAATTTTTCCCGTCATCAATACCAAATTCAATCTAATTGGATGGGAATCTACGTTGCATTTGACGCACCACTACAAGATGAATCGACAGATTCGGCGGTATTCATTGGCGGCGAATCATTGCAGCTTGGTGGCGGTGGCGTTAGCATAGTAGCATGGACGACGAGATGATTGAAAATGAACACAACGGAGATCTAGTCCTATTGGCAGACATCCATTTAAAATGTTGGCAACGGCATGAAAAAAGTGGTTTCTACTTTTACTTTTATACTTTAAGTAAATTTACAAGCCTGTACTTTGTTACTTTTACTTGAGTAAAGAAGTTTAATCAGTACTTCCACTTTTACCAGAGTATTTTTTAACACAAGTATCTGTACTTTTACTCAAGTATGGAAAGTGAGTACTTTTGCCATCTCTGCCCATCTGTCAGTCTGCTTCCTATTGTCAGGAGGAGTTTGAGCGGGTCAGAGAGGCGGCCAGCGGCTCCATGTCAGAGAAAAGACCACCGCTTTAAGGAGACATCCTCTGTCATCGTGGCACTAATATGTCAGCTGAGAGGCGCAGTAGTTGGCGAGGCAGCGTTCAGAGCAGGTATGCAATATACAAAGTTTAGGAAAAAAAGCAGCAATCTCTTTACATGCATTTTAATTTTAGCTTCCAGGTATAAATGAATCAATGTAGGCTCATATTATCCCATTATTTTAAATATGTAAATACTTGAGTGGTTCTTCATCTTTACCTTCATCCAGATCATCTGCTATTGAAGCTGTGTTAAAGGTATTGTGGAGGACTCGCACTAACCACTTAAAAAGAAAATGTGCGTGCAAGAGGATGCACAAGCCTGTGTCTCCTCGTACACACCCTGTTTAAAATGTGCTGTTCTCATAGCTATACAAGCTTACTGTGCCCGAACGTCCGCTCCAACCCCTAAATCCCTCAATCACTATATAGAGCGGGGACTATATAGTGGACTTTATAGCAAACTCAGTTAACTGAGAGACGATCACTGCTTTTATCTCCGTTGGTCACGTAACTCCTCCTCCACCGTGCTGGGCCTGTGCCATCTTTGTTATTAGGGCCATTCTGACAGAAAGTTCCATAATGTTTGGTGAGGGAAGCTCTCCAAGTAAAGCATTCTAGGATATATCTGCCTCTACTGAGGCCTTTCTTTTTTTTTTTCTCATACACTTCGTAGACACTTTTTCTCTTATAACCCTCGGCCATTTTCAAAGAATCGTGGTGAGAAAGGTGAGCTTCAATGGCTGTCTGAAACCGTAGCTCACCAAACACATGTGGCTGAAAGGGCGCATTGGCAGGAAAAGGTAGGTAGCACGTAGGACGGCCTTGCGTCAACATATCACCAGAATGATTGACAATTAAGAGGACCACTGATTTAGATGATCCACCCGGAAATAAAGGTTTGTCCCCTATACCTGTAATGTCTGACATTCTCAACTGTCCTCATAAATCCTGCAGTTCCGTATTCATGCAGACCTGCAGCAGAGCCTCCATCAGAGGAAACAGTTTGGACTGCTGACCCCATTTATCCACTGTGTGTGTGAATCTGATCTAGAAACGGCTTCTCTTACCAGATGCAAGCAGTAAAAAGATGGAGGTTTTTGGAGGACATACCGTAAGACATGGGAATGTCCATGTCACCCTGCCAGGACATCTGCCCCGATTCGTCTATGGATTGTTGCGCTGTTGAAACACAAACAGGTCTCTCATTAAGCTATGATCAAATTAAAGACAACAATAACAGAGAAATCTACAACTGTGTCATGCTGCCTTTCACACTGTCTGCCCACAAAGTTTGGACGTGTTACTTTGTCTTTAGAAGGATGTGTAAGATCTTTGCAAGATGTCACTTCAAGCCATTATGGACAGTAATGTCCAAGTTGTACTTATCAAAAACAAAAGTCACATTCTTTCTTTCTTTTTTTCTTTTCCGAAGGCTTAGTTGTGTGCAAAGTCCTTTGGCAGAAAGATGTATGACAACATGACGTTTTGGCTTAGGGATTCAAGTCCTCATTTTTCTGAACTTGAGCTTTGAGCTGTGAAGTGAAGCAGACATTAAGAGGATGGGCTACCTTTCAAGTGGCCACGTCCGAGCGTGACAAACCCAGAAGAGATGAAGTTGTGCATGTCTTGTCCTCCAGTACGCAGGTTTTCTTTGCCGTAATGACCTTATGGAACAGAAAAGGTAGAAGACATAGTTAGTTATGGATGTATATTTCTTTACTATAACTTATTACTGTGAATATTTCTGAACAATCTGTAAAAGAAAATCAAGAATCAATAATAACTTTTCCCCAATAGGTTGTGAGATTTACTTAGACTTTTTATCCAAAGTATAATGCATTTTCCTGAACAGATGAGGTGTAACGGACACACATGGCTGGAAGAAAAAAACTACTGATTCCAAGAGCAAAGCATAAGATGATGTCAGAACCTGTTCTATGTGCCAGTAAACTTAAATCTAAGGGCTTATATGAAGCTGCTCCACACACTGTCCTATCACATAAGATTGGTGATAAAAATGAAATGTTAATTAATAGTACCACGATGAAATAAAGCATAGAAAAACATGCCCAGTCATGTCTATAAAGTCTGCTTATTGTTCATGTATTCCTATTAAATTGTAAAATACACCAATCCAACACTAACCAGCCTTTCTAACTTCATAAAATATTTACATTTTTTTCAGCTTACACCAACAATGGTTGAATGACACCTCAGTCGTGGCCTGAGGGGGTCTGTATTGCTTCCCCCAGCACCAAGCAACTTTAGCCTCTTTCTCACTGAAAATAGCGCACTAATGTGTTTTTGTCAGGATCCCAGTTTTTGTGTTCGTCTGTTTGTCTTGTCTTTTGTGTTTCTCCTTTCCACCACCAGGAGGCGCCTGGCTCCGGTTCGCCTCCTCACACACCTGGAAGCTGTTGCCTCATCACCGGACTGCTCTTAAGCTGCTGGTTGCCACTACTTCGACGCCAGTTTGGGGTACTCTAGCCAAGTCTTGTTATTCTGAGTCTATCTGAGTTCTTGCATTCTGAGTTTTAGTTCTCTAGCCAAGCTGAGATCACATTGAGTTTTTACTGAGCGCTTGTTTCTCCCTCAGTCTCAACCTTGTTTGTTCTTTGCCTTTCGGCAGGAAGCCTTCCTGCAAACTGGACCTTTTCGGACCGCCTTCTCCCAAGTAGGATCAACTGAGTCTTACACTGAGCGACGGATTCCAAACAGGAGGTTTGGATCCAGCCACCTTTGTGCACGCTGAGATCACTCTCTGAGTAAGGAAGTCATCGTCACCACGAAGCCCCTGTTACACCTTGACGCTTTAGCAATCGTAATCCTAACGTATGAAAAATCAGGCATGCATTGGATAAGTTATGGGTACGTTTTGTATAAGTTATGAGCACACTGGTACACATTGACATACGGTGAGTACGTTGAGAAATTTTTAGCCTGCTCAACACTTCCCGATGTATGCCGGACGTATGCTCATACGTGGGCCATATGTTACAGGTAAGTTATTTGATCGCTGACATACGTTAGGTGTATTTTATTCATAAGTCGTGGCGTCTAGCTTATCTAAAACTTATGAGTAATTTGTGCATAACTGATGCGTAACTTATCAAGAACTTTTCTCCAACGCATATGAACGTATTTGACGTGTTCCAGATGATGGCACAACGTTTTTCTAACTTATAGCTACTGTATAATGGCGTATTAGCAGCGTTTTGATATAAAAGGGGAATCACAGGAGGAAAACGTTGGTACTTCTCCAGACCCCATCCCCATCATAGGGGGAGCGAGAAGGTGAAGAGTAGAGTGAAGAGTGTGTTGGTGCAGCAGTAGTGTACAAAACCAAACTTTTCTTATTTCCAACATCATCATATGACATCGTTTCACCACAGATTCATTACTTCATCGCTATTGAGGCACAGCCACTGGAAACTGAAATGTTCAATCCAACTGCAGGCTATCTGCAGGATTTTACAAAGCTGTTTGCTGGTCCTCATGGGAGATACTGTCTTCCTAAAAGCAAAACAATACAGCTTTCGTCCACTGGGAGAAGCCAAAGCTGACCTAAAAGGAAAGTTCTTTAGAGCTGCTTTAAGTTGACTTTACTTAAAAAGTATGCAAACTAGATGCATAAAAAATAAATAACATCATCTTTTCAGATGATGTAACTTTGTTCAAGGTGTTGTGTGGCAACACCCACTGACAACAGTCAGCTCATGAGTTCACACTGATCTGCAAGTCTTCACCACTTTCAAATGATTAATCTTTATCCAATATGTTAAGTTATTAGTAACTTCTTCTCCAAGCATTCACAGCACTTACTAAATATTTTGAATCATTGTTTTTGTGTGGACTCAACTTAAATATTTTAAGTTATTAAGATTCTTTTCTATCCAGCTATGCTCACACGTTGCATTTAAAAGGAGGATAAACAACAAAATTATGAGAATTGATTTCTGCTCACCTGAAGTTTTTAATTATATTTAATGTTCCATTTTATAGTGTGCGTTTCCCACTTGTTTATCGCAAATATGTGTGTTACATTTGACCTTTATTCTATCATTTATGTTTTTTTTGTGCAACCTCACTCCATAATTGATTACCTGACCAAATCATGTCAAAATTTAACATTTTTAAGCAAGGAATGAGTGACAGCAGGTGGCCTGATAAATAGTAACGTAATTAATGAGAAAATAGCCTTAACTCCACTGGCATGTCAGCCAATTCAAACATTAAAATTGCTTAAGTGAGAATAAACTAGTATAAGATTGATTCATTTGTTCTGGTGCTTGCCTTGATATTTGAACATTATTTTAAAAAATAGCAGCATTGTGATGTTTCAGCTGTTTCGGCATTGCCAGACTCTGAAACTGGAATTTTAAAGGAAAAAAAAGGAAACCTTGAGTTGGAAATTCAAATACACTATATTGCCAAAAGTATTTGCTCACCCATCCAAATTATTGGAATCAGGTGTTCCAATCACTTCCATGGCCACAGGTGTATAAATTCAAGCACCTAGGCATGCAGACTGTTTTTACAAACATTTGTGAAAGAATGGGTCGCTCTCAGGAGCTCAGTGAATTCCAGCGTGGAACTGTGATAGGATGCCACCTGTGCAACAAATCCAGTCGTGAAATTTCCTCGCTCCTAAATATTCCACAGTCAACTGTCAGCTGTATTATAAGAAAATGGAAGTGTTTGGGAACGACAGCAACTCAGCCACGAAGTGGTAGGCCACGTAAACTGACGGAGCGGGGTCAGCGGATGCTGACGCGCATAGTGCGAAGAGGTCGCCAACTTTCTGCAGAGTCAATCACTACAGACCTCCAAACTTCATGTGGCCTTCAGATTAGCTCAAGAACAGTGCGCAGAGAGCTTCATGGAATGGGTTTCCATGGTCGAGCAGCTGCATCCAAGCCATACATCACCAAGTGCAATGCAAAGCGTTGGATGCGGTGGTGTAAAGCACGCCGCCACTGGACTCTAGAGCAGTGGAGACGCGTTCTCTGGAGTGACGAATCGCGCTTCTCCATCTGGCAATCTGATGGACGGGTCTGGGTTTGGCGGTTGCCAGGAGAACGGTACTTGTCTGACTGCATTGTGCCAAGTGTAAAGTTTGTTGGAGGGGGGATTATGGTGTGGGGTTGTTTTTCAGGAGCTGGGCTTGGCCCCTTAGTTCCAGTGAAAGGAACTCTGAATGCTTCAGCATCCCAAGACATTTTGGACAATTCCATGCTCCCAACTTTGTGGGAACAGTTTGGAGCTGGCCCCTTCCTCTTCCAACATGACTGTGCACCAGTGCACAAAGCAAGGTCCATAAAGACATGGATGACAGAGTCTGGTGTGGATGAACTTGACTGGCCTGCACAGAGTCCTGACCTCAACCCGATAGAACACCTTTGGGATGAATTAGAGCGGAGACTGAGAGCCAGGCCTTCTCGTCCAACATCAGTGTGCAACCTCACAAATGCGCTTCTGGAAGAATGGTCAAAAATTCCCATAAACACACTCCTAAACCTTGTGGACAGCCTTCCCAGAAGAGTTGAAGCTGTTCTAGCTGCAAAGGGTGGACCGACGTCATATTGAACCCTATGGATTAGGAACGGGATGTCACTTAAGCTCATATGTGAGTCAAGGCAGGTGAGCAAATACTTTTGGCAATATAGTGTATATATTCTATAGATGTGTAGGAAAATCTGCAAGTGCATAGTCATGTTTTTTGACATTTTCTCTTTTTTATATTAAAAACTTGCTGTGGTTGCATACAAAGAATTTCAGAACGATTACCACATCTTCTTAGTGAATTATTTATTATTTTTGTTGTATCTATTAAGTTTTTTCTCAGTTTGTTAGAAAGTAAACCCATCAGGTTTACAATAACAGAGGTGGTTCGATACTGAGCATGTGCACAGATGGTAAACGAGGAAGTAGCCTACTACGGCTAAGCCAGTTAGCACCTCACAGTGAAGTATGGAAATAATGAAGAAAAATCCAAGATCCAGTTTAAAAAAAATGCAAATACTGTAAATATTGATTCCAACAGGAACAAAACTCAAACAGCATTTGGTATATAGCATGATAAGCGATGCTCACTGAAGCAGAAGCTAAATCTGTGTAGCAAATCAGATGTTGCTGTTAACCCTTTAAAGCCCGATCCAAGAATAAAACAAAACAGAAAATTTGTTTTTTTTTGGTTTGAAGTCCTTATTTGGCCTTTTAACAAAATATGTAGAAAGAAAAAACAGAAATACATTTTTGATATTAATAATTTATTACTATGCGATAAGTCAAGGTTATTTTTTGTGTAGTCTTCTGCCCTCTGTTATCAGGTATATCTGATTGTGTACAATAGGATTTTAAGCAAAGTTTTTACCATTAAATTATGCAAAAGGTGTCAGACGCAAAACATTTCAGAAACCGTACGTATCAAATACGATACATTTGGCTGATAGCAGTTCTGATAGCAATGCTGTTCTCAGTCTCTACAGGTGAAGGAAAAACGACTCAAAAAATTACCTAAAGATGATTTACACTATCAAGATGGACAGCTGGTGAATGTAACTCGATTGCATCCTGATCAAATGTTTTTAGTCTTTTTTGTATTGGTGTTTAATTTGACTATAAATTGTAAAATCTTGCACAACTGACACACAAGGCAGAAATG